AACAACACAATGTAACTCCAAGTCAATCACACTTCTGTGAAATCAAACTGTCCACTTAGGAAGCAACACTGATTGACAATAAATTTCACATGCTGTTGTGCAAATGGAATAGACAACAGGTGGAAATTATAGGCAATTAGCAAGACACCCCCAATAAAGGACTGGTTTTGCAGGTGGTGACCACAGACCACTTCTCAGTTCCTATGCTTCCTGGCTGATGTTTTGGTCACTTTTGAATACTGGCGGTGCTTTCACTCTAGTGGTAGCATGAGACGGAGTCTACAACCCACACAAGTGGCTCAGATAGTGCAGCTCATCCAGGATGGCACATCAATGCGAGCTGTGGCAAGAAGGTTTGCTGTGTCTGTCAGCGTAGTGTCCAGAGCATGGAGGCGCTACCAGGAGACAGGCCAGTACATCAGGAGACGTGGAGGAGGCCGTAGGAGGGCAACAACCCAGCAGTAGGACTGCTACCTCCGCCTTTGTGCAAGGAGGAGCAGGAGGAGCACTGCCAGAGCCCTGCAAAATGACCTCCAGCAGGCCACAAATGTGCATGTGTCTGCTCAAACGGTCAGAAACAGACTCCATGAGGGTGGTATGAGGGCCCGACGTCCACAGGTGGGGGTGGTGCTTACAGCCCAACACCGTGCAGGACGTTTGGCATTTGCCAGAGAACACCAAGATTGGCAAATTCGCCACTGGCGCCCTGTGCTCTTCACAGATGAAAGCAGGTTCACACTGAGCACGTGACAGACGTGACAGAGTCTGGAGACGCCGTGGAGAACGTTCTACTGCCTGCAACATACTCCAGCATGACCGGTTTGGCCGTGGGTCAGTCATGGTGTGGGGTGGCATTTCTTTGGGGGGCCGCACAGCCCTCCATGTGCTCGCCAGAGGTAGCCTGACTGCCATTAGGTACCGAGATGAGATCCTCAGACCCCTTGTGAGACCATATGCTGGTGCGGTTGGCCCTGGGTTCCTCCTAATGCAAGACAATGCTAGACCTCATGTGGCTGGAGTGTGTCAGCAGTTCCTGCAAGAGGAAGGCATTGATGCTATGGACTGGCCCGCCCGTTCCCCAGACCTGAATCCAATTGAGCACATCTGGGACATCATGTCTCGCTCCATCCACCAACGCCACGTTGCACCACAGACTGTCTAGGAGTTGGCGGATGCTTTAGTCCAGGTCTGGGAGGAGATCCCTCAGGAGACCATCCGCCACCTCATTAGGAGCATGCCCAGGCGTTGTAGGGAGGTCATTCAGGCACGTGGAGGCCACACACACTACTGAGCCTCATTTTGACTTGTTTTAAGGACATTACATCAAAGTTGGATCAGCCTGTAGTGTGGTTTTCCACTTTAATTTTGAGGGTGACTCCAAATCCAGACCTCCATGGGTTGATAAATTTGATTTCCATTGATAATTTGTGTGTGATTTTGTTGTCAGCACATTCAACTATGTAGAGAAAAAAGTATTTAATAAGATTATTTCATTCATTCAGATCTAGGATGTGTTATTTTAGTGTTCCCTTTTATTTTTTTGAGCAGTGTATATTGTGCGGTCCTCCCACTACAACTCGGGAAAGCATGCAGTTTATTAGGCTACAGATTAAATAAATTATGATTAATTTCACAGGGTGGTGAACGTGCAAGGTCCTTTCCAATAGATATCAAGGGTCTTATTCTTGTGACATGATGTTCGATGCTGGGCTGCCGTTGGACAAATACAAATAATATCCCTCTCATAATAATAATCTCATTAAGTAGGTATCCAACCACACTGTATCTGTTAGCTGTTGGCAAGTGTGCATGTGCCAAGACCAGAGTGAGCACATTTGCTATATAACGCAACCGTTTTTGTGACAAAAATCATCAGTAGAGATGAAAATGCGATGGAAACCCATTTCACTTGTATTTTTCATTCGGTACATGTGAATTTAATGGCAAAAGTTATTTTTATGTGCACTATGTCATCACGCACAGCATTTTTTCCGCAAAAAGTCAGTTTGATGGAAACACAGAAACACATCTCTGGTGGGAAAATGCTCATATTGTTTTATGCAGATTTTAAAATATTTGCATGAAAATCTGTCTCAAATTGGATGGAAACCTAGCTACTTTTTACAGTGTTAGTTTCATCAGCTGTTATACAGTATGATACAAAACACAGGAAAAACTGAATTTTTTGTTCACTGGGCCTTTAAAACATAACATTTAAGTCATTTAGCAGACACTCTTATCCAGAGCGACTTACAGTTAGTGAATGCATACATTTTTTATACTGGCCCCCCGTGGGAATCGAACCCACAACCCTGGCGTTGCAAACGCCATGCTCTACATCCCTGCCGGCCATTCCCTCCCCTACCCTGGACGACGCTGGGCCAATTGCGCCGCCCCATGGGTCTCCCGGTCGCGGCCGGCTACGACAGAGCCTGGATTCGAACCAGGATCTCTAGTGGCACAGCTAACACTGCGATGCAGTGCCTTAGACAACTGCGCCACTTGGGATATAAGCCTACAAATCCATCTAACACATGCATTGGCTTTCAGTACAGAAATATGGATCCTGGGTAATTGTAATTGCATCTTTTTTGGCATTGTATTCATGTAAGGAATATGTGGCAAGAAATCAGTGGATTAATAATTGAACATATTTATGAAGATTTTACACTATTTTGGAGAGATGTATTGCTTTGATTCTTTACCTATGATAGAAATAAGTAGAACATTTGTATGTAATTAATGTAATTATTATTTTGGCCATATTTTTTTATTTTTTTATTTCACCTTTATTTAACCAGGTAAGCCAGTTGAGAACAGGTTCTCATTTACAACTGCGACCTGGCCAAGATAAAGCAAAGCAGTGCAATAAAAACAACACAGAGTTACATATGGGGTAAAAAAACATAGTCAAAAATACAACAGAAAATATATATACAGTGTGTGCAAATGTAGCAAGTTATGGAGGTAAGGCAATAAATAGGCTATAGTGCAAAATAATTACAATAGTATTAACACTGGAATGCTAGATGTGCAAGAGATTATGTGCAAATAGAGATACTGGGGTGCAAAAGAGCAAAATAAATAACAATATAGGGATGAGGTAGTTGGGTGGGCTAATTTCAGATGGGCTATGTACAGGTGCAGTGATCGATAAGGTGCTCTGACAACTGATGCTTATTCACAAATGTAAATTTACAAACAAAACACGACATTTTCTTACCTTACAAAAATAAATTGAACTATATTTTAAGACAATTAAATACTCTACCAACAAAAAAGCTGTTAGAATTATGAATGTGTGAATGTCCCTTAAGGTCTTTGCGTAATGTGATATTGTACCCCCTAGCCCAACTGTCCTTTGTATAATATATATATATATATATACAGTGAGGGAAAAAAGTATTTGATCCCCTGCTGATTTGGTACGTTTGCCCACTGTCAAAGTCATGATCAGTCTATCATTTTAATGGTAGGATTATTTGAACAGTGAGAGACAGAATAACAACAACAAAATCCAGAAAAACGCATGTCAAAAATGTTATAAATTGATTTACATTTTAATGAGGGAAATAAGTATTTGACCCCTCTGCAAAACATGACTTAGTACTTGATGGCAAAACCCTTGGTGGCAATCACAGAGGTCAGACGTTTCTTGTAGTTGGCCACCAGGTTTGCACACATCTCAGGAGGGATTTTGTCCCACTCCTCTTTGCAGATCTTCTCCAAGTCATTAAGGTTTCGAGGCTGACGTTAAGCAACTCGAACCTTCAGCTCCCTCCACAGATTTTCTATGGGATTAAGGTCTGGAGACTGGCTAGGCCACTCCAGGACCTTAATGTGCTTCTTCTTGAGCCACTCCTTTGTTGCCTTGGCCGTGTGTTTTGGGTCATTGTCATGCTGGAATACCCATGCACGACCCATTTTCAATGCCCTGGCTGAGGGAAGGAGGTTCTCCCCAAGATTTGACGGTACATGGCCCTGTCCATCGTCCCTTTGATGAGGTGAAGTTGTCCTGTCCCCTTAGCAGAAAAACACCCCCAAAGCATAATGTTTCCACCTCCATGTTTGACGGTGGGGATGGTGTTCTTGGGGTCATAGCCAGCATTCCTCCTCCTCCAAACACGGCGAGTTGAGTTGATGCCAAAGAGATCGATTTTGGTCTCATCTGACCACAACACTTTCACCCAGTTCTCCTCTGAATCATTCAGATGTTCATTGGCAAACTTCAGACGGGCCTGTATATGTGCTTTCTTGAGCAGGGAGACCTTGCGGGCGCTGCAGGATTTCAGTCCTTCACGACGTAGTGTGTTACCAATTTTTTTCTTGGTGACTATGGTCCCAGCTGCCTTGAGATCATTGACAAGATCCTCCCGTGTAGTTCTGGGCTGATTCCTCACCATTCTCATAATCATTGCAACTCCACGAGGTGAGATATTGCATGGAGCCCCAGGCCGAGGGAGATTGACAGTTATTTTGTGTTTCTTCCATTTGCAAATAATCACACCAACTGTTGTCACCTTCTCACCAAGCTGCTTGGCGATGGTCTTGTAGCCCATTCCAGCCTTGTGTAGGTCTACAATCTTGTTCTTGACATCCTTGGAGATGAAAAATAAAATATATGTAATTAACTAATAAAACGATTTCAAAAAAGAAATTATAATTTCAAAAATAAGAGATAAATAAATTGAGAGAAAAAAAGATCCGCTTGTTGCTTATGTAAAATATGCGCCTGCACAAAATAATATCGCCTAGACTAGAAACTTCGCGCGCATTAACATTTTCTTCCAAATATATTAGCAAATAAAATATTTGTGGACTGTAAATATTACATTATTTGCTAAAATAAATAACCATCGATACATTGGTTTTATATATATATTTTTAATGCATTTGTACTTTAACGAAAATATACAATCAGGCAATATGAAGATAGTCTACATTTGCGCGTCACCTACGCTCGACGTGCGTTTGAATTGAGGGGTCCTACATGTGCATGGGTTGGAAACAGGAGAGAAAAACATTGTGAATAGTTAAAGTAACTAGGAAAATAGCGATACAAATTTGAAACTACCGCTCATTTTGCACATAAAGGTAAGTGTGCTGACATACTCTCCAAAACAAGCTAGCTACTTTATGGTAGAAAAGCGAAACATCTACCACAACGCAGCCTGGACGTTGGATGTCATTCATTTAGCCGCTAACTAGCTAGCTAAGAGATTACTGTAACTATTAGCTATCTGTTTATGAAGTTGCACATGTTCGGCCTTTTCAAAGCGAAGCATTGTTTTTGAGGTGTGAGTTTGATGGGTTTATTTTTCATTATTATCTCAATTTACCTGCCAATGCGTGCAGTATCTAGCTAACATTAACGTGCAGTTCCTGTGTGTATGTACCTGAAACGTTGTACATAAACATCTGAATCAATAACACAGCTAACTAATTGCAGAATTGGAGTAGACAACATTCATTGGTTTGTAGAAGGTACTCTTTGCAGAAAGCTAAATCATGTGCGGGTGGGTGATGCAATTAAAATGCTAATCCATTATAGTTTCCCCTTACTCAGTCCCTTTCACAATGGAGACGGATCTGTATGACGAGTTTGGGAACTACATTGGTCCAGAACTAGACTCTGACGAGGATGATGATCTGGAGGCAGACAACAGAGATGTGGATGAGGTTTGTTTACTGAAATCAACAGCCAGCCTAGACATGAATGCACATTACAATGCAGCCTAACCAAAATGAAGTAGGGGTGTTTATAATGTCTGGTCAATTCATGACATGCTTGTGTCCCTCTCTGCTCTGTGAAGGCTGATGAGGATGATGATGATGAGCCGGCTGATGCTGATGAAGATGTCCCAGGGATGGAGGTAGTTCTGCACGAGGATAAGAAATACTATCCTACAGCAGAGGAAGTGTATGGGCCGGAGGTGGAAACTTTAGTCCAGGAAGAGGACGCACAGCCCCTCACAGGTCAGACACTACACATACACACAGTTTCAATAATACACACTCAAGCACATGGATGCATTCATTCAGAAATGGTAGTATTAAACTGATTCCCATTTTCTCTCCATCCCAATCAGAACCCATCATCAAGCCTGTAAGGAACAAGCAGTTCACTCTGATGGAACAGGAGCTGCCTTCCACTGTTTATGACATGGAGTACGTTCACCAGTTTCACTGTTGTAAACTAGACCTGCGTCTGTCTGTCTCTCTGTCTATTCTCACAAATGGTTGATGTTTAACCCCTTTCCTCCTTTGTGCAGGTTCCTGGCTGACCTGATGGACAGTCCAGAGCTGATCCGTAACGTCACTCTGTGTGGCCACCTGCATCACGGCAAGGTCAAACACTCAGCATTTGACCTGCTTTAGTAACAGACCAGGCTAGATCATAGCTGTTAGTAGCTAGACTATTTGCCTTATTGTGATTTAATGGATTTGTTTCTTGTCTGCAGACATGTTTCGTGGACTGCCTGATTGAACAGACACACCCAGAGATCAGGAAGAGAGACGACATGGATGTGAGTTTACTCTCCAGCTAGACTACACTGCCCCAAACTTGCTGCTCACCTTTCATCCTAATTTGGAGAAATCCTCTAACCAGTTGTAATCTGAAATACTCTTGTGTATACTGTAAATGAGCCATTCATTCACTGTGTTTTTCTTTGGTGCTTCAGCTCCGTTACACAGATATCCTCTTCACTGAGCAGGAGGTAAGTTGTTGTTATTGTATTCAGAGCTATGACAAGTTGATGCAGAATTGTGTATCTCCCATATAAGTGCATTGTGTTGACTCCTATGGGGTGCCTCCACAGAGAGGGGTTGGTATCAAGAGCACCCCCGTCACAATGGTACTTCCAGACTCCAGAGGCAAATCCTTCCTCTTCAACATCATGGACACACCAGGTATGCAGGAATGTAGGGGAGATTAAAAGAGTAATCAAGGGTGGTTGATTTATATAATTTACCGCCTCGCTGTGTGATGTTAGGTTGGCTGCTTTAGAAAGGCAGAGCGGAACCTCATACCCTTTGTCATCCCTGCAGGCCACGTGAACTTTTCGGATGAGGTGACAGCAGGCATCCGACTCTCCGACGGCATCGTACTTTTCATCGACGCAGCAGAAGGAGTGAGTCCACTTACTTTTAATACTTTTTTTATTTTTAACTCAAATCCCCATTCACCTCTGCATCTCTGTATTGTGTCGCACTTCCATTATCATACTTTGCTTCAGTGTTTGGCCTAAAGACTCAGGCTTTTGTGTTTCCACCTCTGAGGCTTGGCCCCAAAAAGTCAAATGTACCATTCCTCCCCTAACCCAGGCATCTGCCCCGCTGTGTGTCTTTAGGTGATGTTGAACACAGAACGTCTGATCAAGCACGCAGTCCAGGAGCGTCTGGCCATCACCATCTGCATCAACAAGGTGGACCGCCTCATCGTGGAGCTCAAGCTGCCCCCTACAGACGCCTACTACAAACTACGCCACATAGTGGACGAGGTCAACGCCATGCTCAGGTACTGACGTGGGGAGAGCCTGATAACCATGGCTAGGGGCAAACACTGAGGGGTGTGGAGGAAAGGAAATATCGGAATGATTTCAGATGAGATTACTACGTGTAGCAAGCAGAGCACTGAGCATTTGTAAAGAAGATTCCATTGCAGAATGAAACCATGAATGTGAAAACAAAACTTCTAGCATTGAGAGTAGCCTGTTGTAGTGTCCAGTGTGTGTCATTGACCGTGGCTCCTCTCTCCCCTTTCCCTCAGCACCTACTCTACAGATGAGAACCTGGTGGTGTCTCCTCTCCTGGGGAACGTGTGTTTCGCCAGCTCTCAGTACTGTGTCTGCTTCACCCTGGGCTCCTTCGCCAAGATCTACTCCGACACCTATGGTGAGACGACCCCTCCCCCCAGAAAACAAGCACAGTTCCACACACTGGTCACTTTCTCCCACACCTCTTACAAATTACACTGTTAACCCTTCTCTCTGGTGTTGCAGGTGACATCAACTACACAGAGTTTGCCAAGAGGCTGTGGGGAGACATTTACTTCAACCCCAAAACGTAAGTGGCTTTCATTTAGGAGCATTTAGACTTCTCATTTAGGAACATTTAGACTTTTCATTTAGGGTCATTTAGAGTTTTTGTCTGTAATGAAGAAAGAACCCTGTTTTGCCTTCTTTCCTCAGGCGCAAATTCACTAAGAAAGCACCCACTAGTAACTCCCAGCGTAGCTTTGTGGAGTTTGTGCTGGAGCCTCTGTACAAGATCCTATCCCAGGTAAGACCACTTTAACCAATCATCTCCTAGAAAACAAGTCTTATACGCTACATGCACAGATTAGCACTTTTGTGTAGACATGTCTGTTCCCTCAAACACAGTATCCCTGAGTCCAAAAAAGGAAAAGGTGATTGCATCTCCCATAAAAGACCGCAACAGTTTTTTTTTCAGTTCACGGTGCTCTTATTTAAAAGCTGACGCATTGCGACCTCGATCGGTCTTTGTCAGAAAAAGGAAGCTTTGAGAAAGGCAGATCGAGATCGAAACACGTCAGCTTTTGAAATAAATAGGCGCACCATGAATTGAAAAGTGTTGTTGCGGCCTTTTATGGGATATGCCATCACATTTTCTTGTTTGGACTACATTACTTTACCCAGAAGACCACCCTATTCCATAAGTAGCGCTAGCACATCTCAACATTACACTACACCAATGACTTATGGCCCTCTCTCTCTCTCTCCCTCCCTTCTCTCTCTCTCCCAGGTGGTGGGTGATTGTGACACGTCTCTGCCTCGGGTGCTGGATGAGCTGGGGATCCACCTGGTCAAAGAGGAGCTGAAGCTCAACATCAGACCTCTACTCAGGCTGGTCTGTAAACGCTTCTTTGGCGAGTTCACCGGTACGTACGCCTCCCGCCACCCCTGTTTCCTCTCTAACCTCTACTGCCTCCTCATATACCGCTCAATAACTATATCTCATGTTTAATCTTATTCACAGAGGTCATTTACAGTTGAGACATGTTTATCTTCTGCCTAATTCTATTGTATGCGTTCTCATTATAGGCTCTTACTGTACGTTTGCGTACACGATGACTCACTGTATGTGGTTAAGCTATTACCTCTCTGGCCAGTGTATCTGCATACAGCCTTGGATAATCAGTGGTGTAATTGGACACAATCTTATGTTTCTGGTGAATGTGACAAACATACAGTGAGGGAAAAAAGTATTTGATCCCCTGCTGATTTTGTACGTTTGCCCACTGACAAAGACATGATCAGTCTATAATTTTAATGGTAGGTTTATTTGAACAGTGAGAGACAGAATAACAACAAAAAAATCCAGAAAAACGCATGTCAAAAATGTTATAAATTGATTTGCATATTAATGAGGGAAATAAGTATTTGACCCCTCTGCAAAACATGACTTAGTACTTGGTGGCAGCAGGTGGCTTAGTGGTTAAGAGCGTTGTGCCAGTAACCGAAAGGTCGCTGGTTCTAATCCCTGAGCCGACTAGGTGAAAAATCTGTCTGTGCCCTTGAGCAAGGCACTTAACCCTAATTGCTCCTGTAAGTCGCTCTGGATAAGAGCGTCTGCTAAATGATGAAAATGTAATGTAATGTTGTAGTTGGCCACCAGGTTTGCACACATCTCAGGAGGGATTTTGTCCCACTCCTCTTTGCAGATCTTCTCCAAGTCATTAAGGTTTCGAGCCTGACGTTTGGCAACTCGAACCTTCAGCTCCCTCCACAGATTTTCTATGGGTTTAAGGTCTGGAGACTGGCTAGGCCACTCCAGGACCTTAATGTGCTTCTTCTTGAGCCACTCCTTTGTTGCCTTGGCCGTGTGTTTTGGGTCATTGTCATGCTGGAATACCCATCCATGACCCATTTTCAAAGCCCTGGCTGAGGGAAGGAGGTTCTCACCCAAGATTTGACAGTACATGGCCCCGTCCATCGTCCCTTTGATGCGGTGAAGTTGTCCTGTCCCCTTAGCAGAAAAACACCCCCAAAGCATAATGTTTCCACCTCCATGTTTGACGGTGGGGATGGAGGAGAACAGGGTGAAAGTGTTGTGGTCAGATGAGACCAAAATCAAGCTCTTTGGCATCAACTCAACTCGCCGTGTTTGGAGGAGGAGGAATGCTGCATCAGACGGGCCTGTATATGTGCTTTCTTGAGCAGGGGGACCTTGCGGGTGCTGCAGGATTTCAGTCTTCACGGCGTGGGTGTGTTACCAATTGTTTTCTTGGTGACTATGGTCCCAGCTGCCTTGAGATCATTGACAAGATCCTCCTGTGTAGTTCTGGGCTGATTCCTCACCATTCTCATGATCATTGTAACTCCACGGTGAGATCTTGCATGGAGCCCCCGGCCAAGGGAGATTGACAGTTATTTTGGTTTCTTCCATTTGCGAATAATCGCACCAAAATGTTGTCACCTTCTCACCAAGCTGCTTGGCGATGGTCTTGTAGCCCATTCCAGCCTTGTGTAGGTCTACAATCTTGTCCCTGACATCCTTAGAGAGCTCTTTGGTCTTGGCCATGGTGGAGAGTTTGGAATCTGATTAATTGATTGCTTCTGTGGACAGGTGTCTTTTATACAGGTCAAGAGTGTGCTCCTAATCTCAGCTCGTTACCTGTATAAAAGACACGTGGGAGCCAGAAATCTTTCTGATTGAGAGGGGTCAAATACTTATGTCCCTCATTAAATGCAAATCAATTTATAACATTTTTGACATGTGTTTTTCTGGATTTTTTTGTTGTTATTCTGTCTCTCACTGTTCAAATAAACCTACCATTAAAATTATAGACTGATCATTTCTTTGTCAGTGGGCAAACGTACAAAATCAGCAGGGGATCAAATACTTTTTTCCCTCACTGTACTAATGTGAAGCCAAGCATGACCTCCCTCCCTCCCCCTGCAGGCTTTGTGGACATGTGCGTGCAGCACATCCCCTCACCACAGGGGGGCGCCAAGAACAAGATAGAGCACAGCTACACTGGAGGACTGGACTCAGACCTGGGGGAGGCCATGGCAGAATGCGACCCTGATGTGAGTGTGACAGAGTGGGAAACACAAGCCCTGGGGATGTGGGCTGGGGGTGAGAAGAGGCTAGAAGAAGACGGATGGTAGTTGGTTTCTAATAGGTGGAATCTGTTTCCAGTGTTAATCAATAGCCTCATTGCAACTGGAACCGCAATTAAGCAAGCGGGTGATTGGAATTGACTGGGAGTGAAGTGAGTTATTTAAAAAAAACCAATAGATGGAAGAAGCCAGGACAATGAAGGGCATTGATCACAAACATTCCAAATGCCCTTTAGAGATCCTCTAGCCAATAATGAAGTGAGAGGCTTGAGATGTAACAAATAGTTGCTTTTGAATTGTCACACTGCTCTGTTAGATAAACGTAGTTATTAACCTTTTCTATTTCCTTTTAACCCTCTTTCCTCTCTCCCTATATCCTTCCTTTATTGCTCGTTCTCTTTCCCCTCTTCTCTCCTCCTCCCATCAGGGTCCTCTGATGTGCCACACCACTAAGATGTACAGTACGGAGGACGGGGTGCAGTTCCATGCGTTTGGCCGAGTGCTGAGCGGTACCATCCAGGCGGGCCAGCCAGTCAAGGTGCTGGGAGAGAACTACACTCTGGAGGACGAGGAGGACTCACAGGTCTGCACGGTGGGACGCCTCTGGATCAACGTCGCCAGGTAATGGGTATCACTGTTAATATGCCACCTCGTGGACACATCATTTGGCCTGCATCCCAAATGGCACTCTATTCCGTACATGGTGCACTAATTTGGATCAGAGCTTTATGGGCCCTGGTCAAAAGTAACGCACTATATAGGCAATAGGGTGCCATTTGGGGTGAAGCCTGAATGTTCATTATAACAAGTTGTCGGTTATGTATTCATTAGTCAAACACCCCTGTTGGGTTTCTTCTCTAGTCTCTGGTCCTCAATATTATTATTATAATAATTTGGTGGGTGCTTATATTTGTCCTATTTCACACATGTTCAAGTGTGTATTATACACGTGTGAATTGGAAATGTGTTTTTTGCTTATCTCAACTCCCCCTGAGACGTCAATATATGACATCTCTAAGTGTTCAGTATGAGAAGTTGTCGGTCCTTTACACCAACAGTTCTAGCTCCAAACCCCTTCATGTTCTAAACCACAGATACCAGATAGAGGTGAACCGTGTGCCTGCTGGAAACTGGGTTCTCATTGAGGGCTGTGACCAGCCCATCGTCAAGACAGCCACCATCACCGAGCCCAGAGGGAACGAGGAAGCCCAGATCTTCCGGCCGCTCAAGTTCAACACGGCGTCTGTCATCAAGATCGCTGTGGAGCCAGTCAACCCGTCAGAGCTGCCCAAGATGTTGGACGGACTGAGGAAGGTCAACAAGAGCTACCCCTCCCTCACCACCAAGGTGGAGGAGTCAGGCGAACATGTTATCTTGGGTACTGGGGAACTCTACCTGGACTGTGTCATGCACGACCTGCGGAAGATGTACTCTGAGATCGACATCAAGGTCAGTTCTCACTCTCTCACATGTCCCTTCACCCAATTGGAACAAACTCATCTTCCTGTATTATAATTGTAACATCTTGAACAAAATACCCTTTGTCTAGTGTTATTCCTTGATTAGTTTTTTCAGTACTGAGTCTCCCTTTCCTCTTTCTCCCAGGTGGCTGACCCCGTGGTGACTTTCTGTGAGACAGTAGTGGAGACATCGTCTCTCAAGTGCTTTGCCGAGACGCCAAACAAGAAGTAAGCGTCCACCATTATCTCCCATGGGTCACCATTGAACTAGCCTACAGTACACTAAACGACTAGTGTGTGAATCCCAAATAGCACCCTATTTCCTTTTATAGTGCACTACTTTTGACCGGTGGCCAGAGGGTTTTGACCAGCCCTCATAAGGCTCTGGCCAGAAGTAGTGCACTATATAGGGAATAGGGTACCATATGGGATGCATTCTGTTTCATGTTGAGGTGTGATATTAGCGTGCTGGGTCTAGACCAGCTGGATGGGAGACGGAGTGCTGTGTCTGTTTGACTGGCGGTTGTGTGTTTTGATTGACAGGAATAAGATCACCATGATTGCCGAGCCTCTGGAGAAGGGCCTGGCTGAGGACATAGAGAACGAGGTGGTGCAGATCACATGGAACAGGTACGGGACACACACCTGCACACCTCCTATTCATACAAAGAGTTCACCTGCTGTATCCTTCTAGCTGTCCACATATCAGTGTCTCAACCCAAACAGACACCAGCCATCACAGAACACCTGTCTTGACCATACCTTGAGGCCTATCCTCCTATCCACAGCTGTAGCCCTGTGTGTGTGTGTGTGTGTGTGTGTGTTTTGGAAGTGGACAGTGTCAGGCCCGCTGTATGCTGCTCATCTGTGAACCCATCTGGGCCTGGCATTGCCAACGTGAGCCACAGTGCCAAGGCAGTGACACACTAACTTGACAACCCATTAAACAAACTCTGTCCCCTCTGTTCCTCTTCCTGTCACCCCCCCCCTCATCCCCACGGACACCACTCACTAATCCTTCCTGTTGTTTAATCTCTGGTTCCAGGAAGAAGCTAGGAGAGTTTTTCCAGACCAAGTATGACTGGGATCTGCTGGCTGCCAGGTCTATCTGGGCTTTTGGGCCCGATACCACCGGGCCTAACATCCTGGTAGATGACACCCTGCCTTCTGAGGTGAGACCAGGGCTCTGGGGTCAGGCTGGGTTGGGATGTGGAGAGTTGGGTAGGGATGGGCTAGGGGAGATGGGGTGTGGATGGCTGGTGGTCTTTGGGTCAGGCTGGGGTAGGTTGGCCAGGCCAGGCTCTGAGGTGAGGCTCTGGGGTCAGACTGGGCTGCTTTGTGGGTCAGCCTGCCTGTCTAGGCCTAACTGTAAACAGACTGTCAGTGCGTGTTGGAGTGATTTCTGGACGAGTGTTCTGGACGAGTGTTGGCCCTCTGTTGACACCGGCGTGATCATGGTGACATTGACCCATTGAATGGCACGGACAGCAGTGCCCGGTCATTGGGCGCAACAACCTCTGTCTTGTGTTAGTGTTATGCCACCTGGAAGTCAAGAAAATGTATGCTCAATGAGAACAATCAATCTCTCCATATTGATCTTTGATTGTTATGACACTGAATCACACTGTAGGGTGTAATGAAGGCAATTTTGTGTCCATTTATATACAGACGTGTGTAGCTTTGCATGGGTGATATGTCTCCAGTAAGTTGACGGCGTGTTGTTGTGTGTAGGTGGACAAGGCTCTGCTGGGCTCAGTTAAGGACAGCATCGTCCAGGGCTTCCAGTGGGGCACCAGGGAGGGGCCCCTGTGTGACGAACGTAAGTGTCTTACCACTCTATCTCTCACTCACACACACACACACACACACACACACACACACACACACACACACACACACACACACACCTAATCACCTAACAGCTATATATCCCCTCCCTAGCTATCAGAAACGTGAAGTTTAAGATTCTGGATGCGGTCATAGCACAGGAGCCTCTACACAGAGGAGGAGGACAGGTCATCCCCACAGCCAGGAGAGTGGTGTACTCTGCCTTCCTCATGGTGAGATCCTCCCGCTCCCTCCTCTCTCTCTACCTCCCTCCCTCTCCCTTTCCTTTCTTCCATCTCTTTCATTAACTCTAGCTCCATCTCTTGTTTCCTATCCTTTTCCTCCTGAGTTTTTCTCCTGAGTTCCATTACCTTGATTAAAGTGCTGGTTTCTTCTGACTTGTTCTTTTTGTTGTATTGACGTGTGATAGTGTCCCTCTTTCAAGGGTTTCTTTTCTCTTTTTTTGGTTCCTTGCATCCCTCCGTCATTGCCCGCCTCTCAGCTTCTCTTCTCTCTGACTTTCTCCACAGTTCTTTCCTCCCCTGACCTCTATCTTCTCTGCCACTGGCTCTCCCTCCTGCCCCCTCCCACTCTCTGGTTCTCCTGATGGCTGTCCCAATTATTGTCCCGCTCCTGTCCCTCCCAGGCCACCCCCAGGTTGATGGAGCCCTATTACTTCGTAGAGGTCCAGGCCCCAGCTGACTGTGTGTCTGCTGTGTACACCGTACTGGCCAGACGGAGGTGAGCCCACAAACCACTAAATAACTATCAGTCTACTCTGTACCATCCCAATTACCCCACCCATAACTTCTTGACTGACATTTTTAAACCTTTATTGTGCTGATTGCTCAGATGTGGTGGTTTTTGTTATTTTATTTGTTACAATTCTATCTGCTGTGTTTTGTATTGTGCTACAGAGGTCATGTGACCCAGGACGCCCCCATCCCCGGGTCTCCCCTCTATACCATCAAGGCCTTCATCCCAGCCATCGACTCGTTTGGCTTCGAGACTGACCTGAGAACACACACACAGGGACAGGCTTTCTCCCTGTCCGTCTTCCACCACTGGCAGGTAGGATCGCACGGACAGACACACGTGCGCACACACACACACACACTCACAGACATGTGTGCCCTCTTTCTTTATGCCCACCAGCTGTGTTAACATACACATGCACACACACTCGGACACAATGAGATGACAGAGTCACGAACCTCGTGCTCATGCCTGCCACTCTGAGTAAATTGGTTTTGATGCTGACTAGGAGGGTGTTGAGTCAGCAGCTATTGTGTACACTACAGTTGTCTCTGTCTTTCACCCTGTGTTGTGTGTGTGTCTCTCTCCTTCTCTTTGGCTGTGTCAAGCAAAATTAAATTGCTCCCCTCGCCCTCATTTGCCCCAGCCTGCTTCCAGTCTCTCCTCTTCTGTAAACTGAAACGCAGGCTATTCCTCTCCCTCTCAGTAGCGTGATCATCACTCCCTCCCAGTGTGGTGTGGAGAACCACCGTGTCGTGTGACACCATTTAGCGGCCCTGCTCCATCTGTTGATTGGGCTGCAGACGCTCCATTGATTTTCCTCCCATTCAATCTTTCCCCCCGCAGGCCTGGGGTTTTGTTACGGCACAGTCCTAGGAAGTGGCCCAAATGGCATCCTATTCCCTATATAGGCTAGTGCACTAATATTGACCAGGACCCATAGGGCTAAATAGGGAATAGGGTGCCATTTGGGATTGGAACGCAGCCCCATATGGAGGAAGGAGTGAGGGATTGCAGAGTTGGTCACAAAATAGCCCCTCGCCTGATTTGTGGCCAAGAGATTCAGCCCCTCCCTCCCTCCTTGCTCTCCCTCCAACAGTCATGTGACATGTACCCATGAAAGCGGGATTGAGGTGCCAGTGAAGATGATAGGTTTAAGTAATCATTTTAAAACGCCATTCTACTCAGAACTAGATGTGCTAGCGTTGCAGTGATGAAGAGCGCGTCAGAGACGGAGTGAAGTGAGAAGGCGCTGCCGTGTTAGTTTTGGCTGGCTGTAGGGCACAGACATCCCCCTGACTCGGTAACATGGAGAACGCCGGCTGACTAGTAGAGAATAAATCACGTATTTGAGTGGTGAAAGGTTTAAGGACTGTGGTGGTGACTTTATTATTAGAAGTCTCTGCTCAGGTTTCTGCTTCTGTATGTCTAGATGTCAGTGTGTGTATGATAATGTGAAGCTGTAGACTAGATGTGGAATTTCTCAATCTGACCTTCGTCTTTTTCTTTTCAACCCTCTCGTGACCCCTGTTTCTACTCTCCTCTCCTCCTAGATTGTGCCTGGCGACCCCCTGGACAAGAGCATTGTTATCAGGCCGCTGGAGCCCCAGCCTGCCCCTCACCTGGCCAGAGAGTTCATGATCAAGACCCGCCGGCGCAAGGTACGTATGCTGCCCCACCCCCCTCACCATGTCTGTGAGGGAAGGTGTGCTTTATTAAGTATGCACTGTTGCGCAGGGTCAGGCCAATAAGCATCATGACAATGTGACTGACTGTCCCTTGTTTCCATGCAGGGTCTGAGTGAGGATGTGAGCATCAGCAAGTTCTTCGACGACCCTATGTTGTTGGAGCTGGCCAAGCAGGACGTGGTGCTCAACTACCCCATGTGAGGTGTCAGGAGAAGGGGAGACAATGACCCAAGTACTACCCTCCTCCACCAGCACCACAACCAACATCACCACACCACACCACACTGTATGGGACTCAAAACCCCACTGAGGTGGGTGAACGTTGTCGCAGAGGGAAGCAGGGTCTGCCAGTTTTGTTTCCTGCCTTTATGTTGGTGAGTTATGTAGACTTTGTTAACCAGGTGAGGTCACTTACCATCATCAATGACTTAAGTTCATCAACGAAGCATTGATATGGAACCCAACAGACCCTGCGATCTCCTGTTAAGACTTTGCCCACCCATGCTCTCCTTCTAGGGAGGGACTTTTATTATGATATAATCTACAGTTGTAGGGGTTGGCGTGATGTGGGATAGCAACATCTGACACCTCGTCATCAGCACAATTAATAATACTGCTGAGGTGTTTCCCGTCTCATCAATGTCTTGTTTATTTTTTTACATGTATAAATTCCCAAATGTTTTGTAGATGTAAGATGACTTGAAAGCAGGCTTGATTGTTTTTTTATTATGAAATTGGATGTCTTGCGTCTGGTGTAAGCCTGTTTTGAATAAAAACGAATCTACCTGTGAAATCTGTTTTATTTGGATCCATAACCAACCGAGGTAACTTTCTATTCTTCACTTCCTTCCAGGTGTTTAGTTTGGTTCACATTAAGGGTCCTTTTCTGACGTTACTGTATATACGTCATAATCTTGATGTGTTATTGCACTGTATGTATATGGGGAAGGAGTCCAGCAGAAGTGGGTGTGTACAGTGCGGAGCGCCATGTTGGAGCACAGGCGTCCGTGTGAGTGATTGGCATGTCTGTTTGGGGTGCTGTGTGGGCTGTGACTGATGGACAGGCCTCTGGATGGGGAGAGGCAGGCACGGAAGATGGCGAGACCAGGGTCACATGCACCACAAGTGTGCTGCCCTGTGATGGAGCGCAAAGCCTCTATCTTTAATTAGTCTTTCTGTGATCCCTCACGTTCTATCTCCTTGTCTCCTCCTCAGCTGTATTGGAGGAGAAGGTCCAAGGTCCATCCCCTAGGTCCTTCTTCAATGGGTTTTTGAGAAGGAGATGAGGAACGATGAATTGAGAAAGAGCCACAGGGAAAGGTAGCATGGTGGGGGAAAGAGGAATTGACCATGGAGAAAGAAGGTAAAACAAATGGACAGACTGATGGTTTTATTCCTAACTGAGCCTCTGCCTTGGTGCCCTGATGATAAATGTTAGAGTAAGTATGACGTCAATGATTCCCAAAGCTTTTCCACTGTGACCTAACTAAAGTCTGAGTTCACAAGGAATTGGCTCAGAGACACAATTTGGCTAAGACATATTTGCGTAATAGCTTAAATATAACTATATGTGCGTTAGGAAGCAGGGCTTGATACAGTACACTTGACTAATAATGGATTATTCCGTTGTGTCTTGATGGCTTGGTGTATGGCTAACACTGTGGCTGTCACACCTAGAGAGCACTCCGACATCTCAGCTGTACACACATCATAATTACTAGAATGGACACGGGGAGACGCATGGTGGGGACAGGACAGGACCGGGAGGGCTAAAAGAGTAGCTTTGACATTTTGACTGAATGTCAATTGTGAGAACTCTGGGTGTGGTTTTAATTCGCGGAGACATCGGTACATTGAGATTTGGATATTGTGATCTTATCTTCAGTGTGTATAGAGTCATGAAAGCTCCCACACACTGTTGAATGTTCAAGCAGGTTATTAAAAGTCCAAAGCAGCTGTTATCTCGATATCAAATCATTTCTGGGTAACATTTAAGTACCTTACTGTGATTGAGTTCAATTAAAATGATCAAAAAGAAACAAATAGCTTCTTACCAAAGTGAGAATTCACAAGCAAGAATTTTGCTAGGACCGTCTGGGAGTGGTCTGAGCGGGGAGGGGAAAATTGAAAACTAGCTGTTATTGGCAGAGACGTTTGGAGTTCTCTTATTGGTCTATTAACTAATTTACCGCCTGGTGATGTCACCAGGCAGGCCAAAACTCCATCCTACGAAAACAGGTGAAATTATTTTTGGCCATCAAGTAAAACGCTATGTCTGGCGCAAACCCAACACCTCTCATCACTCCGAGAACACCATCCCCACAGTGAAGCGTGGTGACAGCATCATGCTGTGGGGATGTTTTTCATCGGCAGGGACTAGGAAACTGGTCAGAATTGAAGGAATGATGGATGGTGCTTGAGGGAAACCTGTTTCAGTCTTCCAGAGATTTGAGACTGGGACGGAGGTTCACCTTCCAGCAGGACAATGACCCTAAGCATACTGCTAAAGCAACACTTGAGTGGTTTAAGGGGAAACATTTAAATGTCTTGGAATAGTCAAAGCCCAGACCTCAATTCAATTGAGAATCTGTGGTATGACTTAAAGATTGCTGGTCACCAGCGGAACCTATCCAACTTGAAGGAGCTGGAGCAGTTTTGCCTTGAAGAATGGGCAAAAATCCCAGTGGCTAGATGTGCCAAGTTTATAGAGACATACCCCAAGAGACCTGCAGCTTTCTGCAAAAGGTGGCTCTACAAAGTATTGACTTTAGGGGGGTGAATAGTTAACCATGCTCAAGTTTTCTGTTTAATTGTCTTATTTCTTGTTTGTTTCACAATAAAAAATATTTTTCATCTTCAAAGTGGTAGGCATGGTGTGTAAATCAAATGATGCAAACCCCCCAAAAATCAATTTTAATTCCAGGTTGTAAGGCAACAAAATAGGAAAAATGCCAATGGGGGTGAATACTTTCGCAAGCCACTGTAGATATAAAACACAGGAAAATCACGTTTTTTACTGCACTGGGCCTTTGAATGCAACGTTTTTAAACGTTTTATGAGTTTTTGTATCTTGTACCTAAAAGTAAACTTGGTACATGTAGACGTCCGATGTCATCAGTGTTGTCACAGTGTCAACAACAGCATTTACAAGAGTCTCAGTTTCTTGCTACAGTGGGGAGAACAAGTATTTGATACACTGCCGATTTTGCAGGTTTTCCTACTTACAAAGCATGTAGAGGTCTGTAATTTTTATCATAGGTACACTTCAATTGTGAGAGACGGAATCTAAAACAAAAATCCCGAAAATCACATTTTATGTTTTTTAAGTAATTAATTTGCATTTTATTGCATGACATAAGTATTTGATACATCAGAAAAGCATAACTTAATATTTGGTACAGAAACTTTTGTTTGCAATTACAGAGATCATACGTTTCCTGTAGGTCTTGACCATGTTTGCACACACTGCAGCAGGGATTTTGGCCCACTCCTCCATACAGACCTTCTCCAGATCCTTCAGGTTTCGGGGCTGTCGCTGGGCAATACGGACTTTCAGCTCCCTCCAAAGATGTTCTATTGAGTTCAGGTCTGGAGACTGGCTAGGCCACTCCAGGACCTTGAGATGCTTCTTACGGAGCCACTCCTTAGTTGCCCTGGCTGTGTGTTTCGGGTCGTTGTCATACCGGAAGACCCAGCCACGACCCATCTTCAATGCTCTTACTGAGGGAAGGAGGTTGTTGGCCAAGATCTCACGATACATGGCCCCATCCATCCTCCCCTCAATACGGTGCAGTCGTCCTGTCCCCTTTGCAGAAAAGCATCCCCAAAGAATTATGTTTCCACCTCAATGCTTCACGGTTGGGATGGTGTTCTTGGGGTTGTACTCATCCTTCTTCCTTCTCCAAACACGGCGAGTGGAGTTTAGACCAAAAAGCTATATTTTTGTCTCATCAGACCACATGACCTTCTCTCATTCCTCCTCTGGATCATCCAGATGGTCATTGGCAAACTTCAGACGGGCCTGGACATGCGCTGGCTTGAGCAGGGGGACCTTGCATACGCTGCAGGATTTTAATCCATGACGGCGTAGTGTGTTACTAATGGTTTTCTTTGAGACTGTGGTCCCAGCTCTCTTCAGGTCATTGACCAGGTCCTGCCGTGTAGTTCTGGGCTGATCCCTCACCTTCCTCATGATCATTGATGCCCCACGAGGTGAGATCTTGCATGGAGCCCCAGACCGAGGGTGATTGACCGTCATCTTGAACTTCTTCCATTTTCTAATAATTGTGCCAACAGTTGTTGCCTTCTCACCAAGCTGCTTGCCTATTGTCCTGTAGCCCATCCCAGCCTTGTGCAGGTCTACAATGTTATCCCTGATGTCCTTACACAGCTCTCTGGTCTTGGCCATTGTGGAGAGGTTGGAGTCTGTTTGATTGAGTGTGTGGACAGGTGTCTTTTATACAGGTAACGAGTTCAAACAGGTGCAGTTAATACAGGTAATGAGTGGAGAACAGGAGGGCTTCTTAAAGAAAAACTAACAGGTCTGTGAGAGCCGGAATTCTTACTGGTTGGTAGGTGATCAAATACTTATGTCATGCAATAAAATGCATATTAATTCCTTAAAAATCATACAAGAGATTTCGTCTCTCACAGTTGAAGTGTACCTATGATAAAAATTACAGACCTCTACATGCTTTGTAAGTAGGAAAACCTGCAAAATCGGCAGTGTATCAAATACTTGTTCTCCCCACTGTATATAATCAAGTCCCCACCCCTCCTTTGATGGTGTCTGTTGTGACAGTGTTTGATCAAGTCCCTCTTCCACACTGCTGGTATAAACTGTACAGTGTGTGAATGTGTCTTTTAACCATATGCGGTGGTCCAGTCTCTCTCCCTACCCCGTGCTGGCTAGCGTGAGTTGTGATCGTGCGTGGCCCTGGGCAGCGGGACGGATGGCAGCGGTTCCTGCCGGTCTGAACGCACGTCCCCTGAGCGCTCACTGCAATCTGTGGACTTTGCTGCTAAATATAGATGAGAGATACTAGAGACTCTGCTCTGCTATGGCCTGGCTGAGGGCACCTTCCCCAGCAAGGCCTTCCCTTCCCTCTTCCTCTCTCCTCTCATCCACTCTCATCTGTCTCTTTTCATCCTCCTTTTCATCTGCTCGATCCGTCTTCTTTTCCTCTCCTCTCTCTCGGCCTATCTTCTCCTACACCTCTGGTTCTGTCATGTGCCTCTGCCTCTCTCTCTCTTTCAGTCTCACCTCTCCCTCTCCTCTACATCACAAGCAGTCAGATACATTCCTCTCAAATCCACCCCCCAGCAGAAAACATATTAATGTCTACTGTGATAAGAAATTTAATTATAGATCATATTATTTACATTCGTTTGTCAGTGCTACCAACCACATTACCCGTAGACTGAGCAGACACTGGTGGCTAAATGCTCATTATAAACTGGGTGGTTCGAGCCCTGAATGCTGATTGGCTGACAGCCGTGGTATATCAGACTGTATACCATAGGTATGACCAAACATTTATTTTT